TATGTGCCAGCCCTGTCCTAGCTGCTGGGGATACAGCAGGGAATGAGCCACACACCATCCCTCCCCTCCTGGAGCATACAGTCTGGCAGGAAAAGGAGAAGTTGAATGGTGATTACAAGTGTGGCAGGCATGGGAGAATTGGCAGAAATGGAAAGTGTAACTGGAGGCTGCTGCTGCTGTATAATAGGGATAAAAATGATGCTTTTACAGGGTCCATTCAGCTTTGCAGAAACATTTAGGTGAGCATCCAGTATGCTCTAGGTGCTCACCTAAGGTACTGGGGAGACAGGAGTAAGTAAGAGAGACACAGTCCCTATCTTCAGAAGTCTCAGAGTATTTAGAGGTGATGTATGACCTGTCCCAGGGACTTCCTCCCTCCATTGCTCTTGTCCCTCTCCATCCAGAAGATGTAGGCCTGCGTGCACAGCCACAACAGCAGCAGCAGTGGAAAGCAGACCCACGACCTCTATTGGGCAGGGTTGCTTCGTAAGAGGGGCCTTCAGGAGGCTCACTGAAGGCACAATCAAAAACTAAGAGGCTACTGGGCCCAGGAGACCCAGATATTCCAAGGGCTCTGGACTTCTTTGTCAAGGTCAGTGGAAGCCAATGCTGATGGGAAATGTCTGCCCTGACACCAGCTGCTTTCTGGGACTCCAGCTGTGGCTTTCCAGGACAGACCAAGGTCCTGTTGCGTTAGTAGAGCCTTCTGATCTCAGGGAAAACCACATGTGTGTATCAGCAAACAGGGGCTATGAGGATATGTATATTAAGTTACAGGACCTCACAGGGAGACACGCAGACATGCACTGAATCCCTAAACCTGCTGCCTTTACAGAAGAGCTTTATGGAGAACTTCAATGCTGAGCCCAGCCCTGTCTATGGTTAGTAGAGTCTGGCTGGATTGTGTGCAGATTCACTTTGACCCAGGTACAACAGAACATGAGGAAAAATAAAAACAGGGGCCAAATGCAAGAAACAGAGAAAAGAAAACACATCAGAATTCATCCCTTTGTCCCTCTATTCCTTTCCTTTTTTCTTTTCTTTCCCTTCTTTTCCTTTCCTTTCCCTTCCTTTTCCTTTCTTTACTTTCTTGGTTTTTTTTCTTTTTATCACTTAAGTATTCAGCTCAATATTCAATAGTTATTTTAAACATAAATTCAATGCTGGGCACTTTTATAGGCACCACAGAAACACCAAGTAATCAAAACAGAGACCTTACTGATAAAGAGCTCATGTTTAAAAAGGGGGAATACATTTAAACAATAATTACGTGAAATGTCAGGTGGAGACAAGCATTTTGGGGAAAAAAAAACAAAAAAAAACAATAGAGCTATTGGGGGGTGCTATTTTATATAGGAAGCTCAGGGAAAGTCTCTCTGAGAAGCAGAAGCTGAGAGAAGTAAGGGAATGAACCAGGGGGATATCTAAGGAAGAACATTACAGGCAAGTGCAAAGGCCCTGAAGGAGGATTTTGTGTCTTCCCAGCAAGGTTTCACTAAGACTTGGATAGCCATAAATTTTGAGGCATTACTCACGGGAGAGGCTTTGAAGCATACATGTTATTTTTTTCCCCCATTTGTTTACCCAATGAGTACTTACTAGGTGCTGGTTAGAAGTGCAGACAGGATCCCTGTCCACAAAGATCTTACAGCCTTCAGAGGGAGACAAATCAATTAGTAGGTAATTGAGTGGGACTGGAATCATCCCAGCGAGGCACAGGAGCAGAGAAAAGATGCACCAGCAAGCGTGTGGTGTTCAGGAGTCTTCCTGGTGGTAGACCTAGGAATATGTTGACCTAGGAGAGGTGGACCTAAATATATGGTAGGAGGCCAGGCACAGTATGATCTAGACAGAAGGAATAGCACATGTAAAGGTCAGGAGGTGGGGAAGAGTTCAGAGAGCCACAGATTGGAAGGAGCATAGAATGCGTTGGGGAGAAGCTGTAGGTGAGGTTAGGAGTGTGGCCAGGGGTCAAATCCCAGGAAGCATGAAGTGACGGGAGTGGGGGATAATGCCGAGAGGTGATGCTATGGCATCTGGCTGCAGGAGAGGTAACAGAATCAAAGGGGGGCAAAGAATGAAAGCAAGGAGACTCACTAGGCTCCTGTTAAAATCACCCTCATAAGATAACAGTGGCCTGAATTAGGGTTGGTGAAATAAGGCTAAAGAAGGAAAGACAGATTCAAGAAATCCTTGAAAACTGACAAGTTGTGGTAATTACTGGAAATGTGACTGAGGGAGAAAGGAGGGAGGTAGGTTTCCAGTTTGGGTGACCAGGTGCGTAGCAGTGCCATGGATTAAGACAGACAATGCAGTGAAAAGGGGAAGATTTGGAGAATGGATGACTTCAGATTTGGGACTGCTGAGTTGAAAGTGCCTCAAGCATCTCAGCCTAAGGAGAGATGGTTCGGCAGGCAGCTGGGTTGATGGATCAGATGTTCAAGGGATTGGTCAGGGATGGAGATACAGATTTGAAACTCACTAGCCTGTAAAAGGTACTAGAAACCAGGAGATAACTTGACACTGTCCAGTGAGAGTACATGGAGTTTCAAGAAAAATGTGATCTAATGGCATTCTCAAGGATACATGAAGGAAGAGGACAATGACAGACAGAGCAACAAAGTCAAGAAAACAGTGGCACAGGGGAGCCAGGGAGATGCAGAGTGTCTGGAGGAAGCAACAAAAAAGGTACTGACAAGGGGCCAGAAAAAATGCTTGAAGACATGGCCTTAGCAGGGCAGCTCAAGCCACATGGTTCAGACTGGAATGAAAGAGTTGGAAGAGGGAAGGTGGAAGTGATGGTTTTGTGGGCCCAGATGAATTATGGAATCCTACATTTGTGGTGATTATAAGTTCCACATTTAGGGATTTTTTTCTCCAAATGTACTAGGAGTAGGGAAGGTGGCTTGTAGCATTTTATTTTGCTCAGGTTGGGGTTTTGCTGGAAGGTGTTACCAATGCCAAGACTCCTGTGCTCCCTATCTTCAGTAGCCTTGGCTCCTTGAGGAGTCTCAGAGAAACACAGGACAGGCAGTGACCACTTGTTCTGCAAAAGCTTCAACTCCCTTATTAATGCCACAATACCATGCCATGGAAGCCAGGTCCAAGCCTGACACTTCCAAGTCCAAGATCTCTGGCTTCATCTCCATTCCATACCTTCCAATCTCTAGGGTAGCCCACCTATTAGGAGGTATTGGAGGAGAGGTGATTCTGACACTTACTTGGTCTGTCCTTTGGTATTATTCCATGACTCACCATCATGAAACTGGCCCTTCCCAGACACAACACTGAGTATCTGAAGGTGGGTAGAGTCTATGGGCCAAAAATAGGAAACACCCATCCCCCACTTCCTTATTTATTCCCTTGCTCTAACTAGCCCCAAGTGGAGTGGCATCCAGACAGAAGCAGAAGTGTTCTAAGGTGATTAGCTAAGAACACAAGGTACAATTGGAAATCTATTGTGCAAACAAGTGCCTGTTTGATTTCTCTCACTTCCCTTTGGGTTTTAAGCTCCCTTTTGATTAGTATTTGGTTTCTGGTAATAAATACGGTCCCAACTTCATGGTTTATGGAGGGGAATATTCTTCCGCTATTTTCTGTGGTAAATTGTTTATCTTACCTACGCCCAACAAGACCAATGTATACCTGAGATTAACTCCAGTCCTATCTGGGCACCAATCATGGAGAGCCACGTGGGTGGAAAACTGCAATAAAAGTGTGGTGCATAGCCGGCTTTCCCACGGCTGACCAAACGACAGCTCTGTGTTCTTATCCCAAGGTAAGTACCATTTCAAGCCCCAGCAGGCTTCCTTCTGATCTTGGGGGGCTTCCCCACCACCCTTGACCCACTGGATGTGCTGGGGTTGTTTGTTTCTGGAAGCTTTCAGAATAATTTTCAGCCCGGTCAAGTGGTCCAGATTTCACTGTTTAGCTCAACCAAGATTCCAGCTACCTGCTGGCTACTCCAGGTCTAAAGATGCCCCCTCACTCTGTCCCTCCTCCGGGAACATAGGCCCCCACTTGGGATCTCATCCCTTAGAATTACTAGTCCTGGGTGCTCTCTCATAACATATTCATGATATCCTCTCTAGAAACAGATCTCTAGATTCAAATTGAGTCTTCTGGAGACTTTAAGAAGCCATCAAAGATTTGCTTATTGGAGGAAAGTTGCCAGAAGAGGGAGTGTTACTGGCAGACTCTTCACAGCTCTTTGTTTCTGCCCTTCCCATCCCTATTTACTTATTCATTTATCGCTCAGATCTTTACTGAGCACCCCTTATGTGGCAGACACCATGCCAGCAGCAAGCAACATGAGCACAGTCTGACATGGTCCCACCCTCCCAGGAAATCTGTATGCATCTAGGACACTTCAGGAGTCTCTTAGGACAGTGCCCAATACACCAGAACTGAGAAAGCAGCTGTTACTTTTGTCTGTAGATATTCATAGCACCGTAAGTTCCCCTCCATCCAGTCTCTCAGAGCCTGAACCCCTACTTGAGTAGGAACCAACCTAAGGCCTTCTAGGACGTCCTGCAGTGCCAGCCAGCTCCAAACTTGCCTTCAGTTCTCTTGCTGTCACCTCATCCCCTTCGCAAGCCTCTTACCCTCATCACCCCACCTCCTCTCTGCAAGACATGCCTGCTTTAAGACAGTGCAGCCCTTCACAAAAGAAATTATGGGTCTGTTTCTGTGAACACGGGCCTGTGTCCTTAAGCAAGCTATTTAACCTCCAGCATAGTGTCTACATGTAGGAGGGGCTCAGTCCACATCTCTGGGATTAATGCGCTCTGAGAGCCATCTCCCACTTCATCCATAAATGGGAGCAAAAATAGTACCTTTCCCGGCGGGCGGTTCAGAGCCTTAAAGGAGCTAACATGTGCAAGGGGCTGAGTACAAGTCACGGTGCTGAACTGATGTGAGTTCCCCTCTTACCCGTATCCGAGGAGGAATGACCTCTGTCGCCCTGACTGTATCGGAGTCTCTCCCCTCCCCTAGCTGCATGGAGTCTGCGCGCTGCTGAATGACCTGCACGTCTCAGCTTACGGAAAGGATGGTGGGCTCTTATGTCTTGTGGCTGGCCTTGGCCTCCTGCCTTCTGACCCTGGCATCTACAGAACAGCAAGGTGTGTGCTCTGCTCACCTGGCATCTCAGATGCCCCATAATACCTGGGGAGAGGGGGATTGCGGAGAAGGCAGTCCAGGGTCAGTAAGGGGAACAGGGACATGTCTAATTGAAGACTCAGAAGCTAGAAGTCAAGGGGTACAAGACGAGGGAAACCAGAATACAGCCATAATCTCTCAGAGTCAAATAGGAAACCCCCCCTGCAAGGACCGTGGAGTCAGTTAATGTAACTGTCCATGTCCAAAATATGTGGAGCTCCGAGAGCCTAGATTCATGGAGACATGAATCTCCTAGTCACTCTGTGCCCTGGCGTTGGCAAGCACCTTTCTCCTTCCTCTGAAATTTTACTCATCTGTAAAAAGAAAGGACTAGAGGTAATGATCTCTCGGTGATCCTTTCAAAGATCTGTGGACTGGGCATCTTAGATGTTTGCAGCAAGGGTCCTCGGGCTTAACACCAGGCCGAAATTCCTGCCTGTGTCACCTGTGGAGGGGGCTGTGGGAAGGGGAAGGGAGACCCAGTTCATAGACACTCTTGGGAAAACACAGTGTGTGTGTGGGAAATAATCCAAGAACAGCAAGTGCAGTGACTCCTTTCCTTAAAACAAGTACATACGTAAGCGAGGCTTAAAAATCTCTTTTTCAAAAAAGTCCCTCTAACATGTATTTCAAGAATGTGATCCTATGTGTGTACTTAGTCTGTAATTCAGGCATTGACACTGTTCAGTAAATCAGAACTGGAGAACAGAACCAGTCTGAACTCCTGCTAGGCCTCAGGGGCTGTGTTTGGCATTTTATATTTATTATTATTGTTATAAGCAATGCTTTGGGGTTTTATTTCTCCAAAGCAGGGAATACCTCCTAAGATGACTACAGTAGTGCATAGCAAACTCTTGAAGAATTTTTTGATGGCTAGGTCTATTTTTTCATGTATGTTAGAAATGTATAACTAGTACAGCATACCTACAGTATCACAGATTATTATTCCTTAAGATGAAACAAATTTACAGAGAGTCATTGAAAGAAACATATTAAGCAGATAACTGGACAAGGGGACACAAATGTGGAAAACATTGTGACTCAAGGCTTAGGAATGGAGGGAGTTTGGGAACCACTAACTTGCAGGTGTTGTTTTAAAGACAAGTCTCAGGGGAGTCAAACCACCTGTCAAGGTCATCCTTGATGACCTAAATCCAGCAGGTGTAGCACTAGATTTAAACCCAGACTGACCAACCCACCCCTTCAATTCTCACCTCCCCCACACATCATAGTTCCTTAATCTGTTAAAAACCATGGGATGGGGATGCCTGGGTAGTTCAGTTGGTCAAGTGCCTGCCTTTGGCTCAGGTCATGATCTCAGGGTCCTGGAATCAAGCCCCACATAGGACTACTGGCTCAGTGGGGAGTCCGTTTCTCCCTCTCTCTCTGCCCCTCCCCCCAACTCATGTGCTCTCATACTCTCTCTCACTCAAATAAATAAATAAAATCTTTAAAAGAAGCCACAAAAAACAAAAACAAAAATATGAGATCAAGGGCTTCTGGGTGGCTCAGTCAATAAAGAGGCCAACTCTTGATTTCACTCTGGTCATGATCTCAGAGTGGTAGGATGGAGCCCCGCATGGGGCTCTGTGCTCAGTGGGGAGTCTGCCTGGGATTCTCTCCCTTTCCCTCTCCCTCTGTCCCTCTCCTCTCCTCTAACTCCCTCTCTCTCAAAAATAAATAAATAAATCTTTAAAAAAGCCCCATGAGATGAGCAAAATCGGAAATGTTAGAGCAGTGGGTCTCCACTGGGGGTGATTTGGGCAAGGCCTGGAGACAACTTCCAGGAGGAAGGAACTACTGGAATCTAGTGAGAAGGGCCCAGGAAAGCTGCGAAACATCCTGCAAAGCATAGGACAGCCCCCATAACACAGAATTATCCAGCCCCAAACATCAGTAGTGCCGAGGTTGAGAAATCTTATGTTAGATCTATTATCTATCAATAAAGGGGAAATGTCTATGATATAGTAAGTAAAATATGTAAGTGGGGAAAAAAATGTTGTACAGCATTAAGCCATTTTTAAAAATCCCTATATTTTAAACATATGCATAGAAAGAGTCTGAAGGGGGCGCCTGGGTGGCTCAGTGGGTTAAGCCTCTGCCTTCGGCTCAGGTCATGATCTCAGTGTCCTGGGCTCTCTGCTCAGCGGGGAGCCTGCTTCCCTCTCTCTGCCTCCCTCTCTGCCTACTTGTGATCTCTCTCTGTGTCAAATAAATAAATAAAATCTTTAAAAAAGAAAGAGAGAAAGAAAGAAAGAAAGAAAGAGTGAGTCTGAAGACCATACAGCAAATTTATAGTTACTTCTAGGGATGGAATGGGCTTATGACAACTTTCATTTCTACTTTATTCATTTTAATGACATTTGAGGTTTTTTCAGGGAGCCTGTATTACATTTATAATACATTGGTCAAACAGGACCAGTGTAAGGTTGCACAGGGAAGCAATGCACAACTCTAGAGCCAAAGAGAGGGCATCCCACTCAGTGTGAGGGATGCCCCTTGAAACTGTGCAGGGTGGAGACCTTGGTGTTCTTAATGCCTATAAAATACCACACAAAGTCCTCATTATTATTCTGACCCTAAGGGGATGAGACCAATATGTAATGAATGGGTTGTGTTTCCTCATTAGGGTCCTTAAGCACATTCAAAATTCGAAATAGAGTGCGTAGGGGGTGTCTGGATGGCTCAGTGGCTTAAGCATCCAACTCTTGATTTCCGCTCAGGTCAGGTCATGACCCAAAGTTGTGAGATTGAGCCCCATGTTGGGCTCTGCACTGGGTGTGGAGCCTATTTGAGACTCTCTCTCCCCCTCTGCCTGCCCCCTCCCTCTCTAAAACAAAACAAAACAAAACAAAACAAAACGAGTGTGTGTGTGTGTGCGTGTGCATGTGTGGAGAGGGGAGGATTAAAATCCTGTAGGCTCTGAGGATGCGCAATAAACTCAAGCACACTGCTGCTTTCCAGGTGACAGAAACTTCATCAACATCCGTTCCTATGACCCCTGCCAGAATTATACCCATCTGGACGAACCATCACGAAGTACAGAGTACACAGGAAAGGGCCAGCTGTGTGACAGGGACATGAATGGCTGGTACCGCTTCGTGGGAGATGGAGGAGTGAGGTTGCCAGAGACCTGTGTCCCAGCGTACCGATGCAAGACAGACGCTCCCATGTGGCTGAATGGGACACACCCTACCATCGAGGAGGGGATCGTCAGCCGCACTGCTTGTGCCCACTGGAGCAGCAACTGCTGTCTCTGGAAGACTGAGGTGCAGGTGAAGGCCTGTCTGGGCGAGTTCCACGTGTACCGACTGCAGGGCACCCCCAAGTGTAATCTGAGGTACTGCACAGGTGAGTGGCAGAGAGCTGGGGATGACTGTGGGGCAGGGCTACCTGGTGGCCAGCCCAGACATCAGCAGTGAGTGGAGCAGGTCAGGAGACTAAGCAGAACAGCCTGGATTCAGCTCTTGCCTGTTACTACCCAGTGGGGATGTCACCCAAAGTTGCCAGGCTTTCCAACATTTCAAGTAAAGCCAGAAATTCAGAGTTGAGGGCAAATTCTCTTGATATATACATATGCATATGCATATACATTTGCACACATACACATACATACACACACCTATATCCATATGTGTAGCATGATATGAAGAACTCGGGCTCATTCAGATTTAGATTCCAATTGAGCAGTTTAATTTACCTCTCTGAGCTTTAGTTTTCTGATGTGAGAAAAATGGATAATGGCAAAAGTCACAGCCAATGCATACTGTCCCTGCTCCAAGCCAAAGTGCTTTAGACTGTGCACTCATTTAATGCTTTCACCAACCTCATGAGATATGGGTTCTATATAACTACACCCAATGAGAGGTCTGGGGCACAGAGAGGTTAAGCAGCTGTCCCAATGTCACAGAGCAGGAACATGACGGAGGTGGGATATGAACCGTGACACTCTTAGTTCCAAGATCTATATACCTAACCACTATGCTACCCAGTTTCATAAACTTACCATGAGAACTGAATGAGCTAATTTGTTGAAAGTGCTCCAACAGTGTCTGCCATGTAGTAAGCATTAGGATAGCTGCCTCTGGGTTCTCATTTCACTGGACTGGGAGTCAGAAAATCTGAGTTTGAGGCTTGACCCTTCCACTATGTATTGCACAGCCTTGGGCAGGAGTTCTGGGCCCTGGTAGAATAACAGAGTTGGCCTTGGTGGCCTCAGACTGCCTTGCTCTGCATCCTGATCCTCTTCCCCTGTGCCTCACCCTGGAGACCCCTACACTGCGAAGGACAAGTGTGAGAATACCTGCCGCCCGGAGGAGGAATGCAGCTTTCTCAATGGCACCTGGGACTGTTACTGCAGACAGGACCTCAACAGCTCTGGTGAGTGGCTTGGCAGGGCTGAGCAATGGGAACAATGCTGGTCTGAGCAGACAAGGCAGCATGGAAGGATTTTCCTTTTCCGAGGGTATGGACAAGGTGTGGACCAGAGTCAGTGGGGATGGAACTGAGGTCAGGGAATGAAGGTTCTCAAAGCTATTTGCAAGGATGGAAGAGCTGGGATGGAACAAATTGCCAAGTCAGTCTTTGGACCACAGCCTGAGAAAGCAGCTATGGTGTTGGTGAGCTTGACCAACCATAAGGCACGAAGGTACTAACGATAAGGACTCTGCAGGTGTGGGAATTGCATTAAAATATCTGTAGGTCTACATGTGAAGGACATGGGTAGACTCCTGTGCCAGTCCTGGATTTGTGACATAGTAGCTCTCTGGAGCCTGGGTCAAGGCACCTAGACTCTCTGATCCTTAATGTCTTCATCTGTAAAATGGGAATAAGGTTACAGTACAAATAACCACCATATAGGGTAACTGCAAAAATTAAATCGGAGCAGTCTAAATGGGCAGGCTTGTAAGGTGATAAGGTTCTTGTCCCAGGAAGTAAGCAAGCAGAGGCACATGACTTATGGGTAGTGATGCCATCAACAAGCTCTAAGTCCTGGGGTTAGATGAACTTCCCATTAAGATTATTCCCTTCCCTCCTGGGACTCTAATGAGGACCTTTGACTCTTGCCCTTGGCATAAACATGCCTTCCTCTGAACACACTCCCAGTCCCTGCAGAAAAGAAAGTGTTCTAGACAGTGGACCAAGAACAAGCATATGTTTAGAAGACTGGGCTGGAGTGTGGACCAGGTGGTGCTTGGGTGTGCCTAGCAGGAGTAGGGTGAGGACGAGAGGCAGGACTAGAAGGAAACAACTCTGATCTCCATGAAGGCTCTCTCTGCTTATTGGGTAGACAAGCCCCCAAAGGCTCCAGGTTATTTTCCAGGTTTTGGGCAACCACAGAATCAGACGGTGGACTTCAAGGATGTCTTCTCTGTACCTGAAGACTCCAAGGGTATCCTTGGCAGGTCCTCCCAGCTGATTGGGTGGGTGGGTGGCCTGCCTCAAGTCTTCAGTGGTGGCTACTCAACAAGTCCCCATTGCTTCCAGGCACAACCCCGTTGTGACCTGGCTTTTGCTTACTTCTCCATCTCTCACACTCCACCCCTACCTATTCTAAGTTCCTGTGCCTCTGAGCTTAGCTTCTCCATAAACACACCAGCCTCTCTTCCATCACCATGCTTTTGCCTCTGCTATTCCCTGAGCCAGGGGTGCCCTCACTTGCCCTGTGCACCTGCAAAACTCCTACTCCTGACCAACTCCCAGCCCTCTATGAGTCCTTCCCTGACTTAACTGACAGACCCAGATATACCTTCTTGTGTTTCCCTGTGCACCTAGAACATACTTCTTTCATCATACTGCATCTTAATAAGCTGTTGGCATGTTGGTTCTGACACAAGACCAAGGAATCCTCATGGCCTGGGTCCATGTTTTCTTTATTTTTGTGTTGAATGTGCCTCGCACATACAGAAGGTGGTTAGTAAATGTATTTGAATCAATGTATTCATAAATACAATCAAAACGGTATTTCTCTTCATTTGCTATCTACCTCCCCATCAGAATGTTAGCTCCATAAATAAGGGTAGGGATTCTGTCAGTTTTGACAAACACTGTATCCTCAGTACCTAGAACAGTGCAGACAGTAATGCTCAAGATGTATTATTTGTTGAATAAATGCCGAATGAATGAATGGAATGAATGAGTGAATGAATGAATGAATGAATGAGTGAATGAATGAACAAATGAATGAACAAAAGAAAAAAAGAAATGCAATGGCTCTGAACCTGGTCAGATGTGCTGGCTTCACAAAGCCAGGGAGCAGGAATAGTGTGTATCCACCCCGATTCCAGTCTGGAATGCAGGATAGTTCTGCTTCTCTAGAGACCCCAATTCCCAGAGACCCTGATCCCCAATCCCCAAGACATGAAAGTCCACACCTGCACACAGCATGCCTAGAAATCTTGGACCAGGGGCTTTTTTGCCAACCTCACCCAATACAACCTGGGTGTGAATCCCACCTGGGTCCCAGGCCCCTATTAGTCTACCTAACTCCCTGGTACATATGATGGCTTTTCCAAAGGGCATGGAATGTGGGCTCTGCTCACTGCTTCCAGACCCCTGTCCACTCCAGCTACCCCATTCTCAACTTTCTAGATGTCCACAGTTTGCAGCCTCAGCTAAACTGTGGGGCCGAGGAGATCACGGTGTCACTGGACAAGTGTCAGCTGGGAGGCCTGGGTTTTGGGGACAATGTCATCACTTACCTGCGAGACCGGAACTGCAGCAGTATCACGCAAAGAGAGGAGAGAAACTGGATATCGGTGACCAGCCCTACCCACGCTGGGGCCTGTGGAAACATTCTGGAGGTGAATGGTGTTTACACCACTGCTACCAGAGGGTGGGAGTTGGGCTGTGGAGCTATCTCAGTAGCTGTGAAGCCTTGGACAAGCCACTTAGCTTCTCTGGGCCTCTAGTAGTATGTGAGAGTAGTAGTGTGTGTAGTATGTGAGAGTACACATGCTGGTTCACATACAGAGCTTAGAAGAGGTTTGCTGCTTGAGCTCAATAAATGTAAGCTGTGATTATGATTATTTTAATTAGGGGTGATGTGGGAGGGGTCAATATGGGAGTAAGCGTGGTAGTTGTTGATTCTCCCCAAAGGCCAAAAATTCTTGTTCTAGTTTTTGATCTGGGATTCTCAGTCCCCTTCCCATAAGGCTCCAGGGGCCACTAAGGGAAGAGGCCCATGTTCTCCCTGGTGATCGGAAGGCAGGGTGGCAGCATGATGGAGAGCATCAACCTTACAGTCATGTAGGCCTGAGTTCTAGATACAGTTGCACACACATAAACATACACATGGTCTTGTTTTTATGCCAAAGAGAAATGGAACCCATGCCATCTACAAAAACACCCTCTCTGTGGCCAATGAGTTCATCATCAGAGACACCATCCTCAACATCAATTTCCAGTGTGCCTACCCACTGGACATGAAAGTCAGCCTCCAAACTGCCCTGCAGCCCATTGTAAGGTATGGCACTGACCCTTGCCCTTTGATCTATAACCCTGACACTGATCACATCCACTTCAAGCAAAGCTTAAAATGTCCTCAGGCTGCTGCCTACTTCCTACAGGAGCTCTCACTCTTTCCATCATTCACTCTGCAAATATTTCTTGATCACAGATTAATGTTCAGCATGCACAAGGCAGACATAGAGTATTCTGTGGGTATTAAAGATTATTATTACGAAGCAATGCAGAAACATAAAATAATGTTAATTAAATATGCTAAGGAACAAAAACACACCACAGTTTCACTTATCTTGAGGAAGAAAGGAATTAAGCAACTAATTATTCCATCAACTATTTACAAGTGAGATGAATGCAATGTGGGAGAAGCACAGCGTGCTGTGGGATCAGGAAGCAAGGGTTCCTGATCTAATCATTGTGGGGAAGGGATGGAGGGAGCAGGAAGGCTTCCCTACAGATGTGGGATTTAAGCTGGGATGAGCTTTGATTAGATAAATAGCACTCCCAATTCACTAGAAAGAGAACTAAGTAGCAATTTGGGTGGGGATCCATTTGGAAGAAACAAATGAAAGAAGAAGAAGAAAGAAACAGAAAAAAAACAAAAAACAGTTTTCATCTATTTTGGTCACTGCTGTCTCACAGTGCCCAAACAGGGCCCTGTGGAATGGATTCTTCAGCATTTAGACAGTAAGACTTGCTGGGGGATTTTCTGTGTCAGAACTCCAGGGTGCCCTTTCCATCCCCCCACTGCCTCCTGGGCTCTCAGAGTAGCATGAATAGGACTAGTAATTTTCTAGTTCAATGGTTTTCAGACTGTATTGTGTTGGGGCTCCAAGTTTCATAATAAATAAAAATTAAAGCCATTCCTCTTTTAAAATGAATTGTTTCACTGGGTGATTCCCTGGTGGAGGGAGGAGATCTGCTGCTAAAAATGGTGAACCCCCAGAACTGATCCCATTGTATAGGGGGGAAGATGGAGGTGTGCATTTGCTGTTATTCTCTGAGGGAAGGAGATACAGGTGATCTGTGAGGCAGGGAGAATGGGTGGAGATCCCAGAGACACACTTGTCTGCTTGTCAAGTTTAGTGCCTAGCAGATACTAAATGCATGATTTAAATAGGTGATTGACTAGTTCCTTCAGGAATCAAAGATGTGCCTTCACTTTCATAGCCTCACACAAGTGCAGGGCTGGATTTACTTTGTTCTCACTGGTGGGAACCTAAGGATTCCACTCTTACGGTTTTCCTCTTCTCAGTTCTCTGAACATCAGTGTGGATGGGGATGGAGAGTTCACTGTAAGAATGGCCCTGTTTCAAGACCAGAACTATGTATCTCCTTACGAAGGGGCCGTAGCTGTCCTGGCTGTTGAATCTATGCTCTATGTGGGTGCCCTCTTGGAGAGAGGGGACACCTCCCGGTTTAACCTGTTGCTGAGGAACTGCTATGCCACGCCTACTGAAGATAAGACTGACCCCGTGAAATATTTCATTATCAGAAACAGGTAACAGGCAACTCTGGGTTATTTTTTGGCCTGATTAAGGTTTTCGGGGAAGAAAGATCACCATGGCCCTGCCTGGTAGTTGTGTAAACTGGCTTACTTCTTTTGCAACATAATTTGGCATGACATATCACGACCATACTTTTGACCCAGGAGTATCACTCTTGACATTTTAGCCTAAAGCATTAATACAAAATAGGTCAGCAAGATAAAGAAATGCCAATTATTTTTCACTTAAGTGAAACCTTGGCAATAGGGTCACAGTTCAAAAATAGGGATCCATTAAGTAATGATGGGCTATTATACAGATAGTAACACCGACAAATCAACATGAAAATGGTATGACAAGTGTTATGGGACAAGATATCGCTGAAATTGCTAACTGGCAAAAACAAAGGGAAAATGTATATCCATAGATCATGATTCAAACCATGGTAAAAATATTAGCTAATATGTATCACTGAGTTTAGTTATGAGTTTAGCCATGCACTGTGTCACTAAATGGTTACATCAACCCCAGGAGGTACAGATTACTGTCTGCTCTACAGACCAGAAAAGGGAGTCTCGGACAGGTTAAGTCATCTGCTCATGATCATTTAGCTAGAAAGTAGGTCTGGGTGGAATATGAAGCAGTCTATTTCACCTCAGAGAACAAACCCCACAAAACTGAAACCTGGGCTGATGAATAAATGTCTTGGAGGGGGCGCCTAGGTGGCTCAGTCAGTTAAGCATCTGCCTTTGATCAGATCATGATCTCAGCGTCCTGGGATTGAGGCCCAGGTCGGGCTCCATGTTCAGTGGGGAGTCTGCTTCTGCCTCTGCCCCTCCCCACCTCTCATGAGTGCTCTCTCTCTCTATTTCAAAAAAATTTAATACCTTGAAGGAAACCCAGAGGAATAAAAGTCTATGTCAGGATGGAGGGAATCAGGGAACATTCTCTGTGATGATGTTTTTATACCAGATGCACATTAAAGATACAGCCAAGGGCCTCAGGTTCCTTGAGCTATTCTAAAAGTAGACCCTTGCCCCTGTCACCTTCCCAGCTGCCCAAATCATTATGATTCCACCATCCATGTAGAGGAGAATGGGGTGTCCTCAGAAAGCCGGTTCTCAGTTCAGATGTTCATGTTTGCTGGAAATTATGACCTAGTCTTCCTGCATTGTGAGATTCATCTCTGCGATTCCCTTAATGAACAGTGCCAGCCGGTGAGTATCTCTTTAGAGTGAACTATTCAGAGATTCACATGGGGCCCGGTACCTGGTAGTCTCACCATATATATTTACTGCAATTACAGAGGGATGGAAAGAAGAAAGGGAGAGAGGGAAGGAGGGGAAGAGGAAAGGATGAATGGATGGACATTCAATCTCCAAAAAGTCCATGTGTATGTAATGTCCCTAGGAAGCAGATCAGACAAAGAAGTCTGCCCACTAAGTTTCCCTGGCACAAGACATATTTTGAATGATTTCATAATAGTGGACTTTTAAGTGCCTATTCCATGTCAGGAATTACACTAAAACTTTCATATGCCTTATTTAATTAAATTCTCACAAGAACCCTTTAAGTAGATTTTTTGTTAACCAGCTTGTACAGAGGAGGACACTGAGCTTAAGAGAGGTCTTCTGCCCAAAAGCAACACAGCTAGAAAGCATCAGAGCTGGGAGATAACTCCAGTGTCCATGCTCTTAACCCCTGTTTGGTACTGCCTGCTAGAAGCTGGCATTTGTTGAGTGTGGACTATGTACCTGGGTGTTACAGACATGCTCATTTTAATCTTTTAAGACCAGGAAGGTATTACTTAATAGTCCAATAGAGAGGTGAAGTCATTAGTACCAAATTAGACAGCTAGAATTAGAGTGGAGAGGTGATAGAATGGATGAGATAAGTAGAAAGGAGTCAAATCCATGTTTGCTTATGACTTGACAGTAATTGAGAAAACCACAGCCTCAGAGTTAGGGGTACATGGTGGGTAGGGTCCCATTCTTGGGCCAGATTCTTGTCCCATTGCAGGGACATCCTGGATAGGAACTATGACTTTAAATTTTGATATAATGAGATCTCTCCATCCCCCACAGTCTTGCTCAAGAAGTCAACGTCGCAGTGGAGTAGTGGCTATCAACCCAGCCCAGGTTCTAGATTTGGGACCCATCACTCGGAAAGGTGAGTGGCCCACTTCTGGGTGAGAAGACCAGGTGGTCAAGTGCTGACAGTTAACCACAGATGCCTGGGATCACCATCCTAACAACTTAGAGCCTTTTTTACCTCCTCACTGCAGCCCCCACCAGTGAATCTATCTTTCTATGAGGTGCTTTGGGTAAATAACAACAGCATTTGCCATTTGTCCTGAACCCCTATGTGCTAGAGACCAGGCTAAGCTCTCAGTATCCATCAACTCACTTCATTCTCCTGACTGAGTCCATTTTACCAGCGAGAAATTGAAGCTTGGAGAGATTAAGTGGCTCACCCTAAGTCACTCAGCTCACGAGCAGGTGGAGTTAGAACTGAACCCAGCTCAGACTGATTCCACAGCATATGCCCCTTGCCTTTTTCTTCTTGCCAAGTCCCCTTACCTCAGCCCCTTTTGGGTGAAGTCTTTAACCCAACTTTGTTTTCTGGTGAATGACTATGTTTTCCAAAATCCAGTTATAATATTCTGGGGCATGATGTAGGGGAAGCTTTATAATTGCCCACAAATGTTAACCAATCCTGCCCATGGGTGAACACTACTGTTGTGATTTCTATTACCACTAGAATGGAGGAGTCAAAAAACCCAGAAGAATGAAAGCAACTTTTTTTTTGTCCTAAAGAAATTAGGACGCAGTAATGCTAGTAACAGCAGCAATGACAGTAACAGTAATAACACATGAGGCTGGCACCGAACAAAACATTTATATGCATCATCACATAGAATGCTCACGACAGCCTAAGTTGGTAAGCACTATTACCACTTCCATTCTCCATGTGAGTAAACTGAGGCTGTCTTGTAAAGAAGGCTCTGTCCTGAGTTGTCCTGCCTCTTTACTGAGCCCTCAACTTGAGGCTTCATCTGGTATCACAGGGTTGTTGGAGGGTTAGGAAATTTTATTTTGGAATCAGATAGATGGAGATTCAAATTCCAGCTTTACTACCAACAATAAGGTCAACTTAGGCTTCCTTGGTCAACTGAGCCTCAGTCTTCTCCTCTGTTGAATGGGGACACAAATACTTTCCTCACAAATCTGCTGAAAGAACTAAGTTTCAAATGCATGAAATGGGCTTAGAAATAACAGATGCCTCAGCAGTGAGGGTGGCCAGGTCCAGCCAGGTCAGTGGCTGCGGTGGCCAGGTCCAGGAGGACCTGGAGCAGCTATGGCCACAGTGCCAGTCCCCGGCACACGACTGAGGAAACCTTCACCTTTGCTCTTGTCCCCAGGTGCTCCATCTCTTGGCGTCGCGAATGGAACCCCCAGCTCTGCAGGTACATTTTTATCTCCTGCCTATCCCACTGCCCTCCCTCCCAACCCTCTTTTAGTCCTCTTCTCAATTCAGTGCACATTGATTTAGCCTGTGCTAGTGACTGTGGACACTGAAATCAATCAGTCCCAAGTGTGGCTCTTGAGATGCTCAAAGTCTAGCACAGGGGCCAGTCATTTAACAATGAATACTTATTGGGTCCCCACTGCTTGCCAGGCATTGTTTAGATGTTGAAGATATAATTGTAAACAGCACAGACCAGGTGCCTGCCCTCATGGAGCTTATGATACAGTGTGGGAAACAGTCAATTAAAAGTTAACAAGATAATTTAGAAAAGAGAGTAATGTGTTAGAAAGTTACCAGCATGGGTAACAGTGTCTTTAAAAAGATAGTTTATTTTACTCACATGTAAATGAAGTCCAAAGGCAAGCAATCTGGGGATCCTGGGGTGGCACCACAAGGTCATCAAGAATCCAAGTTCTTTTAAGCTCTCCCCTCCACCTTCTTCATCCTCCTGCTCCAAGATGGAAGCCAGAGCTCCAATCTTCATCTCTAGTCAGCAGGATGGAGGGAATATGGAAAAAGTCAGAGTGTTAAGGAACATTCCTAGAAGCTGACACCTTACACTTCCACTTATCTCACTGGCCAAAGTTTAGTCACACCTGGCTGCAAAGGAAGCTGGAAAATGTAATCTTTATTCTGGGCGGCCATGTCCTGAACCAATGTTTGATGGTTCTATTTATAAGGCAAGAAGGAAAAGTAAATATCAGAATGAGTAAATGGCCAGAAAAATGTTCAGAGGAGGTGATATTTGAATGCAATGAGAAAAAGGGGCCAGGTTTGCAAATAATAAAGGAACAAGCCCTATAGGCAGAATGAACAAGAGTTGCAAAAATGAGACAGTCATAGAAGCAAATTGCAAGCAAGTAGATAGTGTGGCAGGAGCACACAGAAGAGTAAGGAACTGTACCTGGTAAGGTCAGGCAAGAATTTTAGCAGGTGGCAACATCTGAATGGTGTTTTGGTGGGTGACCTGGAATTTAACAGGAAGACCAATCCAAGAAATGTGTTTTGGACCAAAGAGAAAGCAATGATTCTAAGATTTTACTGCCACCTCTTCCCAACACACACATGACCTATACTGGTGAACCCAGACATGAAAACGTTCTTTCCATCCTTAATTCTCCAGCTAGATAACAGCCTAAAAGTTTCCAAATAAGGTCAAGATGGCCCCTCCACACTTAGGGCTAATATTCAGACAACACTCAGAAAATTGTGCTCATCAGAGACAGGGGTCAGAGCTCAGACTAAAAGGAGCTGGAGAGCAGACATCACGTCTCATACACTTCTCCCAGTACTTCAGGTTAGCGCAGTGCTGGGAACAGCCCAGTTTCCCAGTAGAGTTTGCCAAACTGACTAATTTCTAGGATGGGCAGTGGATTCTGGAGCCTTCTGGAAGAAAAGGGGAGCGATCTCATGCGGTATGAGAACGCCACAAGAGGGCACTTATGGTGTTCTTTGTTTGCTATCTCCCACAAACATGTCTGAGGTTTTAGAATTAACTGAACAACCACCTGTGTTTCATAAATACAAACTGGTTGTCATACACTAATATTTCAGAAAATTATGATATTCTTCACTTCCTCCTAGAACATCAGCAAGTTACTCTGAAGTTTATGAGACAGAGAAATGTTATAATCTCATACTATGGCGGGAGGGGTGCACATGCATCTCCCAGGCCCCCCAGTACAAGGCATCTATCACCCAGCACCCACACCCTTCATTAACACTGAGTATATGATCATTTTCAGAGGAGATGTGTTCCCAACCCTCCCAGATCTTGGAGTCTAATATTCAAAACTGACACTTATATGGTGTTTATTATGTGCCAGGAACTGTTCCAAATGTTTGATATGAATTTATCCACTTAAGCCTTACAAAAGTCCCATGAGGTATTAGTTGCTTGTGATTTTTCAATTTTGCATATAGATAAACTCAGCCATGGTGAGGCTCAGTAACTTACCTGGGCCTGCACAACTGGTTGTAGAGCTGGGATTCTTCTTCTTCTTCCCTTTTTTTTTTTTTTTTTGAAGATTTTATTCATTTGACAGAGAAAAAGAGAGTACACAAGTGAGGGGGAGGGGCAAAAAGAGAGGGAAGCAGACTCCCTGCTGAGCAGGGAGCCTAACCTAGAGCTTGGTCCTAGGACCCTGAGATAATGACCCGAGCCAAAGGCAGATGCTTAACTGACTGAGCCACCCAGATACCCCTAGAGCTGGGATTCTAAGCCAATAAGTCAGGTCTCGGAGGCTTTTTAACCTCTGTGTCCTTCTCCATCTTTAGTATTAGTCAGCATAAGTAATATTAGCTGCTATGACAGACAATCCTCATCTTTCTGTGCCTTTACACAATAGTTTATGTCCCACTAAATCACTGGGGGATGTAGTTCTGTGCTTTGCAGTCATTAGGAAGTCAGGCTCTTACCTTCTGGTAACTCTGGAAACTCCACTGTCCCCAGCAAGTCCTCTGGCGGATCCCTGGCATCTGGTCCCTAGATGGTGGGTGACCAGAGTATGGAAAATTATGCAGGAGGTTTTAAGGACCAGGTCTAGAAATGGCATATATGATTTTTACCCACATTCCACTGGCCAGATTCAATCATGTGATCTCACCTACCTGCAAAGGAGGATGGGGGAAAATTGCCTTCCAATATAACCTAAGTAATACGAAAAAGTGTTTGATGATTAGATAGCTTTGCCTCTACCACATGACCCCTTTGCCACTTCCCAGGGGTTGTAACCTAGAACAGATATTAAGGATACTTAGTAAGGCCTTAAGCATTAAGTATAGAGAGGCTAGCTTGCTTTGGCTGCTGAGTTCCAAAGGCCAACACTTGACAGACATCTCTCTTATATTTCAGGGTTCCTGGGGGCTTGGCCCATGGTTCTCCTGCCTGTCCTCCTGGCTGGGCTGTTCTAAGAGCTCAGCCAAGCATCTAGCCTTGAAGCTCGTGTTCTTCCCTCTGGTGATGGCTTCCGGTCACCCATCGGCTATGCCGGTTCTCTCTCCAAATCACATAGACAGTCTTGGTGTTTAGACTCTGGGACAGGCTAGGTTTGGGGAAAGGGGAAAGATTCCCTTGTTCAACACTCTCTGTGCCTTTATATTCCTCTTTTTCTCATGGTGGGGGCCCTGTTGGCCTGGCCTGGCCTGATTTCCTCATTTATTAGCAGGATTTTGGAGCCAGACTTGCTCTGTGCTTCTGTGGCCCCAGCCTTTACCAGAAATGTATCATGTGTTACTCTGTAACTCCAGAGAAGACGAGCTGTATCACTGTGGGGTAGAGGTAGAAGAAAGGGGATGAGCTTGTTAAAAAGACACCTCTCGTTGTTTCTTCCCAAGTATACCTTGTTCTAACTGCTGATGAACTGAACAGACTGATCCTTGCTTTAACCTGTGTCCTCTGATGTATTTCCAACATGGTCTCAGTAGTGGCCATGGGAATGAGTTGTAAAGGGTCCACTTCTGGAGATTCTATTCCCAGAGAAGACTGGTTCCCATTGCTCCCCTGCCTACCTCCATACTGTAGACATGCTTTGATGTGCCTAGGAGTAGGCAAAAATTTACCCTAGGACCCAAATGCTGGAGGACCTGCTTGATTTGAATGCAGAGATGCTGTCACTCCAGAGTATACCTCTAGCTGTGAACAGTGGTACGCTCCAAAGTAAGTAAGAAATCCCAGTGGAAAATGCTATGTTGATCCTGCCATGGGGATATAGAAGAAGTGACTGGGGGATGAGTGAAGTCCCTTTCTGGAAACCTCTGATGGGCCTTCATGAAACACTCCACAAAGATGCCACAAAAAGAGAATGCTTCCCCTTCCCATAGCTATACACAAGGCCCCTACAAGCTGGCCTCAGGGAAAAAATGACCAGAACAGGACCAGACCACAGGGGAGCAGAGCCTGTATATGTGATAGGAGGAGACTTTCCAAAGTGCTCTCATGTTCAGAGATAGTGTGGTTTCAAGAAACAGAAACACACGCCAATTACATCAGGCAAAAGGAGAATTAATTATCAAAATACAGGAGCAAAAAATCCAGAACAGAAGATACAACCTGGCTGTATGAGGAAAACCACCAGAAACCAAGGTTTGTCTGTCCTTCCGTCGGTTTTCCTGAAACCACACAACCTTCACATCTGCTTATCTTTGTGTGTCTTCTTTATTCCCTCATCCTGAAACTAATTCTCACTATTCATTCATCGTGCCTCAATTAAATATAGACATTGAAGCTTCCCCTCACTTCCTAATTCAGGGACCATATAGACCAACTAACACTTGGTATCCTACATCTAAATTGTACAAGAAAGAATGAGATTTCCCTGTTTGGTCAGAGTGCTTCCCTTGGTCCAAACATCTGAGGGCAGGTGAGTGGCCTCACCTAATGCAAACACAGCCAATAGGGCCAACCTGAGGAGGCAAGTCTCGAACACATGGCAGTGTTTCTTGACTAGATACCCCAAACATGTACTCTAATAGTGACTTTTTTAAAAGAGAAGTTCTTGGGAGGAATTGCTTCTTGTTTCCTAGAAAGTCAATGGATTCAGAGATATTGCATTTTAAGGGAGTACACTAGGAATGCACCTGAAAGACAGGTCAGGGGCCCTAACCTTTTCCTTTCTCTGAGGTTCATCTTCTCCTTCCTATGGAATAAAGGGGCTGGACTAGAACAAGATTCTCTAACATTTATAGTGGAACCCTTTCTTTAAACACAGTTCTACGTGAATACCCAATATGTAGACATTTAATGGAAATAGACTCTTGTTGATGTCAGGTAACGGGCTTAGTACTCCCATCTGTGATTCCCTCATCCTCTAGACCTCAAAGAAACTCCAAGATAACCCAAAGAGTTACCAAGAGCAAAGTTCTGGAACTCCTTGGGATATATCACATCTGATATCTCTTCCAGTGTAAAGTATATGAGCTTCTACTTAACCAGAGCAAATCCTGGCTGTCTAACTATGTATGTATTTGTCTATCCATCTATCATCTATCCATCACAAACTCTCCTACTCTACCTATCCCCCTTGCTCTCTCCATCTATCTATCTATATATTTATAACATACGTAGTTAGTTACAGATTTTTGTTTTCTGCAGACGGGCATACTAAATGAGTAACAATCTCTGAACATCCAATCCACTTTATTCATTTGGGCAACACTAATCTGCTGAGCAATTGTTACATCCCAGACCTAAGGGCCGAGGTACAATAATGAATGAAACATAGTCCCTCTCCTTAGAGGTTCACAATCTGGTGGGACACAAACACACAGAGGCACTCATGTGCAGGTCACACTCAAGTATGCATACCCACTGACCCCCTCTGACTTATAAACACACACCAACGTCATGAGCCCAAGGACATTTCCACACGCAGAGATCCTTACCAGGGCCCTCAGGCCCAATTACTTACATATATATTACCATAACTTAGTAAAGCTAACACTTTTAGCCTGTCCTATGCACCAGGCATTATTCTAAGCACATTAGGGGCAATGCAACATTCCACTCTCCCCTTAGATACTGAAGGTAGGAACTATTATTAGTCCCAGTTTAGAGATGAGCAACTAAGGCTTAAAGAAGGCGATCACTCACTGAAGGACCTATTGCTTTTAAATGCTGAATTCAGGGCTTGGGTCTTGGTAGCCTGAATTTGGAGGATACACTTAGTAGACACTGTATTCTGCCTCCGTTTATACACAAAGCCCCCTACACACAGGAGGCACTCATTTTCATACACAAACCACCATACATACCTGTACCCACTTGCATACAGGCACATGGGAACATATACATATGCAGTGACACATGTGAATATACACGTATTTGCCAACATAGAGGCCCTCACACATACACAGGCACTGACATTCACGGATGCACAGATGCTAGCATGCTCACTAATCTATGCATGGTCATTTAGATGCAGACACACACACCTTAGTACAGAAAAAATAACATTCTTTGCTACACATACACATGTACATACGCTCATAGATACATAAACATATGCATGCATACCTACAAGACACAGGACCTGGATCCCACTCCCCAAGGCTAGGACTCTGGCCATATCTCATTTCCCTTTAGCTTTCCTCTCCTCCTTCCCCTAGTTCTGCCAAGCTGGGACTGGGACAAGAAGTACAAACCAGGGAGCACAGTGAAAACATACTCTGGACCCAGCATCTGAGAGTTCTGGACTAGAAGGATGACAGAGACACTGAGAAAGGACCTGACCCACATTCAGGGAAACTGGCATCTCTACTCTGGGGGAGCACCTAGAAGCAGCAGGTGGAAGATACAAGGAGGGTAGGGCAGCCCTGCTCTCCAGCAACTTAAGGTCTGCTGGAGAAATACAAATTCTAGGCAGCCAAAGCTAAACAGTGTGAGATCAAGACAGACATTGCTACAAGATGTGGAAAAGGGAGAACTCCACTCTTCCTCTGGAGAAGAGGGAAGGATCTGTCCCACAGAGTTTAGTCCCTTCACTTTCCAGATAGAAACTTAGATCCAGAAAAGAGAAGTGGGATGTTCATTCTTAATCCTATAAAGGATCCTACAGGATGTGCTATCACCAGCTGGGCATCAGAATATGGGGAGAAAGGGTACCTCTGAAAGCTGGTCATTTAAAGGAGATTTGGAATGGGGGCCCCAGAGGATTAGTTCCACCCAACCTAAGTCATTTCATAATCTCTCCTTACCCTTTCTTCTTCTTCAAAACTCTTCCTCCTATAAAAGGCTAGAAATCACCCCTTTGCTTTCCTTCCTAATCCCAGTAGATTCTCCTTTCTAGAACCTTACTAAATCCATCCACTCTGCTTCAACCCCATATACCCTGATCATCTCTAATGTCCTCTCTTACCTGATACAATAGCTTCCCAGATGGGTATTCTCCAGTCTCACCCCTCCCAATCCATTCTCTACCCAGAAACTAGCAAGCATTTGCAGCAAGCTCACTTCTTTTTTTTTTTTTTAAAGATTTTGTTTTTTTATTTGACAAAGATCACAAGTAGGCAGAGAGGCAGGCAGAGAGAGGAAGGGAAGCAGGCTCCCTGCTGAGCAGAGAGCCCGATGTGGGGCTGGATCCCAGGACCCTGGGATCATGACCTGAGCCGAAGGCAGAGGCTTTAACCCACTGAGCCACCCAGGTGCCCCTCACTTCTCTCTTTATATCCCTCCAGCAGTTTTTAACCTTCTATCCGTTGAGGCTGGCCAGCTAGAGGGCTGACAAAATCCTCCACAGTCTGAGCCAAGCCTGTTCTCTTCAGCTTCAGATCTTACACTTACTTATCCCTTTCATACGTCATGTTTCAGCCACCCTGAATTTCCACAGTTCCCTGACTGGTCCTATTTCACACTGCTCTGCCTTCACATGTGCTATTCTTGCTGTGTGGAAGGCCCTTTCCCCCAGGGATGACATCCCTAATCAGCTCTAAGGTCATTTCTCCTGTCACACTATCCTAACTCTCCTGCCTGGCCTAGATTTGATCCCACTCCTCTTTGTGACCACCTTCGCTACAGAATCTTATTATCACATGCACTATCTGCATCTGAGATGATCTATTTTTACATCTGTCCTCCACCCTCCACCCTAGACTGTTAGTTCCTTGAGGACAGGGGCTTTGCAATATTCGAACATTACCGGCTGACTAAATGAAGACACATCCTCACCCTTTCTTCTTTATTCCTTTACTTCCAGCATAATCACACTGTCAGGAAAGAAGGGAACCACTTAATTTCAGAAATAAAGGAGACTTTCTCACTTGGATAATCACGACGAAAGGACCAAGTCGGAATCTGAGACAAGATTTCTGGGCTCTCTCCAAGACTTTCAGCCCATTCCATTGTCAGCTGATCTTACAACGGGCTGTTTTCCTTTCCCCTTTAATTCCCATCTTCCTTGGCCTCAGGGGAGTATTGACTGAAAGTTTGGGTGCTTTTTCTTTTTTTCATTAAGAAGGGCTGTAATGGAGCTGACAGAGTGGTTACTGGTGGGGAGTAAAGTGAGAGAACTCAAGAGTAATCACTACTTAACAGCAGGGGGAAAAAAAACAAAAAAGCAATAAAAAACCTGTAAAGAGCTTGGGAGGCTGTTGACTTTAAAAGTAAAACAGCTAGTCATTTACCAACAAAATGGGCTTATTGACGAAGAGCAGAGGAATTATAATTGGGGACATGGCCTAGTGATGGCAAACCATAGGCACTGCAAAGGAGAGGAAATAAGAAAAGGAGGAAGTTCCGGAGGGGCTGCTTTGAAAGGAAGTCCATGGGAGGAAAGTGAGAATTCAGGGTGGTGTTGGTTTCTCATTGGCTGAGTTGTGGTATATTTTTCTTATTGGCTGAGCTTGTTGTTGGGCAGGGAGACATTCTTCCCTCATCCTGATGGAGCAGTAAA